CCTGAGGGGGAGTAAACGTTCAGCAAATGTTCATTTTTGGGTGATCTATTCTTTTAATCTCCAAGAGTGTAGTCTATATGACACATGCAGTGTGAGAAACAGACTGAAATTTAAGTCCTCATTCACCTGATAATCTTGAATTTTTTTCTCACTAGGAATTTAATGCATGATTGCAGGGATTGATTTTGTTTCAATGTTTCAATGCAGAGCATTAGAAGAGCTTTATGTTATTATACAGTACATAATGCAATTATGATCATTTATGTATGATTATTTAAACCGCCAGTAATGAAGGTTCTTAATAATGTAAAACTTGTATTTATTGCATCTGATTTTATTGTCATTTTTTTTATTGTATCCGAAATGCAACAAAATGTTTTTTGTTGCATTTTGTTAACAAAAAGGTGACTTTTTACAAGTTTATTTAATTACCATTCGCTAATGCATTATCTATCATGAACCTGACAATTCTTTACAGCATTTAATATGTAAGTGTTGATTTATTCCACTGATTATTATTAATTCATGCTCGTTAATTTTGCATTAATTTAAGTAACACTTTAGAACAGGGAACACTTATTCACTATTAACTACGACTTTTCCCTCAATAAACTCCTAATTTGCTGATTATTAATAGTTAGTAGTTGTTAAGTTTAGGTATTGGGTAGGATTAGGGATGTAGACATTAATATGTGCTTAATTAGTACTAATAAATGGATAATAATCTGGTAATATGCATGCTAATAAGCAACTAGTTAAGAGACCCTAAAATAAAGTGTTACCAATTTATTAATAAATGTAAAATTTAATTGTTTAAAATATTGTTTATTGTGAGTTCATGGCACCCAATGCATTAGATAAACCATGTTCAACATTTTACACATTGTAATCAAAACATTCGACAACTAGAAATTAAAATGGCCAGACTACTTTCAAAACAATCAAAACAGTACTTACGTTTTCCCTGTTTGCTTTTACTGGACTCACAAAACTTGAAACACAAAATGTTTAACAGTGTGTAAACCAACACAGCTGTGACAGTGACTAACACGACTGAAATGAAATGATTGATGGTGGTGGTTGTTATTTCTCGGTAAATTAAGTTGCAGAATCCTTAGCTGTGTGTGAGAGAGAGAGCTTCTGGAAAAAGAGATGAGGGCTGATAAAAGAAAAATGATTTGCTAATGTTTTAAGTTGTAACAGCACCACTCTTTGCCCTTGACATGCATTTATTGCTTTTAGATCAATTACAGATTTCAATATATATATACAGTATATATATATATATTGCATTTTATATATAAGTTATAAAAAGCAAGTGTTATCCTCCACTATAGCCGAGGATTTTTAGAGCGATTGGGCTCTTTAAATGTCCCTATGAGCTGTTCAGCTTTCATTTTACCAGTAGGATGGGCCAATGTCATTCAGGTCTTGTCTAGTAGGTTTAAGTTCACCTGATTAACCCAACCCATAGTATGTGCGCGTGCGAGTGGAGAAACCGGTAAGACGAAGCACGCAGCCTTGTCTTCATTCTTCAGGAAGAACATCACCAAGGTAAGAGCCATGGTCTTTCATATGGATATGCTATTTATATTAGTCGCTATTTTATTTTATTATGACTGTCTTTCATACACTGGATGAAAACATGAATACAAACGGTTATTTTATGAGCCAGGAAGAGTCAACTAGTTTACTATAGTTTAGTATGCAGCCAACTATATACTATGGAGGATTACTAGGATTACAGTAGGAGCACAATGAAGTCTATACAGACCAAACCTGGAAAAGTCCAGATGAATTAGTCTATCCGTGGCGTAGTTTTTGGTTATAAATCATGTGCCGTATGAACAAGTGTTTATATCACCAGAGTACGGTGGCCGTGAAGTGCAAAGCAAATCACAATTCTGAAAACAAAATAACAAATTACAAACGCAAATGCAAGTCTAAAAAACAAAATAACAATTCAGAAAACATTATAAACAAGTCAGAAAACACAACGACAAATCAGACAAACCGGAAGAGGTAGGAATAGTTTGAGACGGCGCCATTGGTTTGGGATTACTCACCGCTGACTGGACGAGACATCTGTCAATCACCGTATACAGAGAGAACCAGCCGAAGAACAGCAGAGTCGTGGTAGAAAGTTCAGAGATGGTATTAAAGTAGCTCAGTTTAAATGTATTGTATGAATTGCCCTTACTATGGAATAAAAAATATGGGTATACTTCAAGTATGCTACTTGTTGCAAATAGTGGCAATTATCTGCACTTCAGTATTGTAGTACATTATAAAACAGTATGCAATAATAACGTAATGAGTGTAAATTATAATTTTAATTATTAAATGGATGCCACCTTATTGGTACAATAAAGCCCTCCCTACACCTACCCTAACCCTACCCCATACTTTATTTTCAACTTTTTGATTATTTCCTTAATTTTTATTGAAAATAAATGCCTTTACGATGTGATACGAGATTTGAAAAGGGAGGGAAAAAAAGTTTGGCAAAAGGTGGGATCGAACCCAGGTCGATCGCGTCAAAATGCCAAGGGCAAGCGCTTATCCATCTGCGCCCCTGGAGCTGATATTTTACAGCCACTTTTAACTAAATGTAAATAGACTCTCCGTATTTTTTGATTGACAGATGTCTCGTCCAGTCAGCGGTGAGTATTCCCAAACCAATGGCGCTGTCTCAAACTATACCTACCTTTTCCGGTTTGTCTGATTTGTCGTTGTGTTTTCTGACTTGTTATTTTGTTTTTTAGACTTGCATTTGCGTTTGTAATTTGTTATTTTGTTTTCAGAATTGTGATTTGCTTTGCACTTCTCTGCCACCGTACTAAAAGCATACTGTAGTTTAGAGATCCCATGAGGAAGCTTGTATATGTCGTTTAAACAAAAGGGGACGCTATAGCAGTGACACATTTTCACTATAAAATGAAAAACTAAATGGGCGATTTGTGATTGGATTGCTTTCGAATCGAATTGTTGCTTGTAGTATATTATATTTGTATTTTCTATTAAGGTGCAGTTTACAGTGGGTATAAAATGATTTACATTTAATTGCATCACAGTAAACATTGACATAATTTTACACTGACCTTGAAATATATCAAATGCGTAACTGAGAATATTAAAAAAATATTTGCCACTCATAATCACTGAATATGAAATGTCAAACAATGGAGGGCATTTAGAGGTACACTATTCATAAGAAAAACTACATTAAATAATGGGGTGAAAACACAGAACAATGATCTACCCTAGCGAAATATAGAGAAATTATAGACGTGGCTTTTTATGGCTGTGTATTGGTTAACTAGTTTGTTATTTGGATAAGTCAAAGGAATCACCTACATCCTATTGTGCACCAAGACTTTGCCATATTTGACTATATTTAACATCTTAGTCAAATTGCATGGTGATCACAGGCTGCATTATTCGATTATTGATAGAATTGAAGCCTGATAGTCCATTTAAGGACAATGATCTCGTCCTTTAGTCACTGTGTGATTGCTTTAGTGGTATGCTTAGGTTTATTGTCATATTAAAACATAAAGCAGAAGGCATTTATATCAAGCTAAAACAAGACCTTTTTTGCCACTCTCAAATAGAGTTGAGATTTGTGGAGCACTTAAAATACAGTATGAATAAAAATGCTCACGGTGTAATTTCAGTTTTGAATCGGATGTTCACATTGCGTCCCCTTTTATCTCAGAAATCAGAATGGTTCAATCATACATGTTTTAACTTTCTGAAATGTCCATGTTAAACTTAGACAAAAGTATTTTCATTCACATGTCACTTGCGTCTACTGACGTAATGATGTGACCTGCAGATAGTGAACGAATTCAAGGGTATTCTTTATGGTGAGATCATTTAAAATAATTCTGTCCCTGCAACAGATACTGATACTGTATTCTGTGCTTTGCATAAAAGTTTGCAATCGTAAGGTGGGTGTACAAGGTATTTTAGTTTCATTTTTAGTATTTTTTTCCCCTTTCACTTCCGTAGTGTGTGTTATGTGTACAAATAAAGTCAGAAAAACTTGTTCTGCACTTAAAAGGCAATAAAAAGTGAAGAGATTTCAGTTCATATTCAGATAGTGACCACTATCGATATATATTGATGTATGTAAAATCACGAAACATTCAGCCACAAATGAAAATGCATATTTAAGTATATTTTTTAAAATAGTACTTATTACAGAAATAATATACTTAATATATACTTACGTGCTGAATGTAATGTTTTTCAGACACTTAACTGCATGTTATTTACAATGAAATGAAAATGTATAGTTTACATATATATATATATATATATATATATAAACTTAGTTGAAATTAAGAGTGCTTAAGTATATCTTCATATGTAATTTCATAACAACTTCTGTTCTATTTGAAATATGGTTAAAGTGTGCTGTTGAATGCACTGACAAGCATTCATGATAAACCGAAGTATACTTTAATGTCATTTCTATAGAAACCTTTAATGCATGCATTTAAATATTTTAAATTACACATTTGTAATGAAGTTTAACTTTAAGTGTAATATCGAATAACATACTACAGTTGAAATTATAATCAAGTACTTTACATGTGCTTTAGTCAACGCATCAAAATAAGTGTACTTCTTTAAAGCATGACAAAAGATTATTAAAAAATGATTTAAGTGTATTTGTACAACTTTTAATTTGACATTATTACAAAGTGCAGTTTTTAAGTGTACTCTCTTTATACACCTAAGTGGCCTGTTATTCATTAATACTATATGATCTGAAAATGCTTTTTTTTAAATATACTTTTAAGACTTGAAGACACCAAAAGCGCACATTCAATACAATTAAGCACTCTTTTTTTGCATGCAGTGTAGTTGACCAGGTGCTATGGAGCTTATATATTAAATATGTTGTATATTATTAATATTAATGACTCCTCTTCTCAACCCATACAGTGGAAGGAAATTAAAGTCAACATTCATTATTAATTATCTTCAAGATGCATCTTGCCAGGTTTGCCATCGGTTCTCAGACAGAAGTTTGAAATGACAGAAGTTTTATATTTGGGTGAACTGTTCTTTTTAATTATAGTTTGGGTGTCTGTCGCTTTTTCTTAAAAGGACATCTGCTGCTCACAACCACAAAAAGACACAAAGATGATGACTGCTGTTTTTCTCAGTAGAAACTGACATCAAGCATGAAGTTAGTGCGGACGATTCATCTAGACAGTTGCGTTCCACCTCTGAACTCCCTGATCCTCAAGATGTTGAAACCAGCTGCAGTGAAACGCTTCCATGGCCAGAATCTCTCTGCATTAGTACCAGTTCTTCTCCGGATGCAGCAAGAGCTGCTGATGCAGTGTCTTCTGATGATTGCCCTGCGACTCCAGACTCGCTCAGTAATGACCAGCACGATTCAGACAAAGCAAGGTAATGCATCAGTACTGTTTCTCTCTCAACTGTGATTTCATTTTGCATGTTTCTTGGCCAAACCTGTTAGGCTTTGGTTACTGCTGTGTTTATATTCTTCCTTGTAGTTTCACAGAGCAGGTGATGGATGTTCGGACAGAAATGTGCACCAATGGAGAGATCCATCAAGTTCCTAAATCACAGGATCTTCAGAACAAAGCTGACAGACCCAATAAACCACGGTACAATATGATTACATCTCAGAAAATGATCATGTCTAATATGATTAAAATGTCATGTGCCGAGGTCATAGTTCACATTTTTAGCATTGTGACAATAAAAGAATAGTTCCCCCCAAAAAATACAATTTGCTGAAAATTTTTACTCGTACTCAGGCCATCAAAGATGTAGATGAGTTTGTTTCTTCATCAGGTTTGGAGAAATGTAGCATTGCATCACTGTCTCAGCAATGGATGCTCTGCAGTGAATGGGTGCCGTCAGAATGAGAGTCCAAACAGCTGATAAAAACATCACAATAATCCACACCACTCCAGTCCATCAGTTAACATCTGGAGAAGACAAAAGCTTGCATGTTTGTAAGAAACAAATCCATTTAAATATTTTTAACTTCAAACTGTTGCTTCCGGCTGAAATAAGAGTCTGAATCAGGAGAGAAATCTGCACAGATCAAGCATCGTTTACAAGCCAAAGCAAGTCTAAACCAGTATGTGGGTTAGATTTTGATGTAAGAGAATGGATTTGTTTCTTACAAACACACATTTTCACTTACTAAGATGGACTGGAGTGCTGTGGATTACTGTGATGTTTTTATCAGCTGTTCGGACTCTCATTCTGACGGCACCCATTCACTGCAGAGCATCCATTGCTGAGACACTGATGCAATGCTACATTTCTCCAAATCTGATGAAGAAACTAATTCATCTACATCTCGGATGGCCTGGGGACATGTAACAAATGCATAGCCACTGGCAAAGTCTTAAAATATTTTGAATTCTTGGGCTGCAGGGCTGCAACCATTCGTGTGAGCAGGAAGAAGCAGACGTTATCAGGGCAGCGCCAGAGAGCCGACGTGTCTCGCAGTGAGTGTGCGGTGGCACAATCCAGCTGGCTCGACGTATGGAAGGGACGCAAGTAACTAACGCTACACAATCCCTGAAATCACATAAAAACTTAAGAACTTCCTGCAGTATAGGCATTTAAAAATGGCTAAATTAAATAATGCATTTCATGAAATATCATGAATGCTATATTATCAAGCATCTGTACATAAAATCTTAACAAATAAGGTGCCCTTTCACACCAAACACATTGTGAAACAGTAATATGAAACGCAGACCTATAGGCTTAATGAAATGGCTAAAATCACTCCGATTTTAAAATGTGCACTATGCACTGTCAAATGAACGGTTTTAAAGGGGTCATATGATGCTTTTTTAAAGATCATTATTTTGTGTATTTGGTGTAACAGAATATGTTGACATGCTTTAATGTTCAAAAAACACATTATTTTTCAAATACTGTACATTATTGTAAGTCCTCTATGCCCCACCTCTCTCATGTAAGTCCTCTCTCAAACACGTTTTCTACAAAGTCCCTCCTTCCGACAAGCGCAGTCTGCTCTGATTGGCCAAAATCGCATCATATGACCCCTTTAATTCATAAAGTACATTTTAAATCATTATGTTTACTTATTTGTCATGCTTTAAAGAAATACACTTATTTTGATGTGTTGACAAAGCGCATGAAAAGTACTTGATTATAGGTTAACCACAGTGTATTATTTGATATTACATTTAAATAAAGTATATTTTTGTTTACCATAAATGCAATACACTCGGCAGTACACTTTATTTTAAAGAGAATAGAAGCAATTATGAAATTACATGTAAAGATGTATTTAAGTCCTAATTAAGTACTCTTAAATTAAACTAATTTGTAATACATTTGTTTAATAACATGCAGTTAAATGTTCGAAAACATTACATCCAGTTTGCACATATATGTAGAAGTAATATTGAAATTACATATAAAGATGCATTTAAGTCCCAATTATGTGGGTCAAAAAAAAATCAATAATCACTAATAAGTTAAACTAATTACATTTAATATAAATGTATATGATAATATGAACCATTCATTTAATTGCAAATAACATGCAATTAAGCGTAGGAAAACCTTGCACTGAAGTATATTTTTTAAAGGATATTATTTGTGCAAGTGTACGTCTTTTTCACGAGGGAAAGAATGATTGTTTCAGGTAAGTGTAAAAATGTACAGAATATGTACTGAAAAACTGATGGGGATAAATCGTATATATAGGCGAAAGTGTCAATGCTTTAGGAATATTAATGCTAATCATAATTAGAGTCATTTGAAGCCCTTGCTAAAATAAGGAGTAATAGTATTCAATGCTGGTTTTTAGTTTGAGTGTCAGACACATGATCCAAAGCTCACACACAAAACACAGTCGCCAAAAGTAGTTTCACTTCAGTGTTCACGTCTGGTGTCGCTTCTAGTTCTATAGGAATTTATTGATTTTATTTAAAATCTTTGTGCTGAAGATTCACGTTTGGTGTGAAAGGGCCTTTAGGAGACCCATTATACTGTAAGACTGCAGGGAACAAACAGTAACAAGTACAAACTAAAGAAAAGGTTTATATTTGTGTTAAATTTGTATTTGTTTTGTAGGCACAATGTTCTGTGGGCCACTCTAGATGGACATGCCATGTCACTGTGGAAAAAGCGCACAGTGAGTTGTTTCATAATGGCATTACATTTAATACAAATAAAGTATACATTGCAAATACTTATTTTATAACCACATTTTCAATGTGCTCCAGGACAAATTCACAGAATATATTTTTCATGCGATGCCAGATGCAAAAAGGAATAAGCACAACTGACAATGTTAGCCAACGAGCCTTAAAGTGTAATTTAATCTGCATTTTAATATGCCTCTGCTCATAGAGCTTTATAAATGGATGCCGAGGCTTTTTAGGTCAAGTTGAATCAGCAATCTCTGACTCAGTTTGTTTGCTGGCTTCAATGCCTGCAATACGCTGTGTTTTCCATCGACTGGCAACCCGGGCTGTCGAAATACTATTACTACTACTATTACTATTACTATTACTATAACTGGCAGTGGGCGGAGTCACACAGACCAAAACAAAAACAGACATTCCGACACGGAACACACATTTCAAAGCAGAAAAATTGGCTGTAGCGTTGTTTTTCTGAGAAATAAGTACGTGAACTTGGCATGTTTCCTAAATATCTGCAAATGTATTAAGGTATTTTTATGCTTTAGTACAGTCATGCAGCAAATTACATGCAGCACCTTTAAAGCTGAGAGTTAGTATTTGGTTTATTTGAAGCATCAAGTCATCACTTTCAGCTCTGTCCTGTGATTGTGTTGTGTCGTAGCTGTGCGGCAGAGCTGGTTGATGTCTCTCTACGCCATTCGTGGAAGGGAACCGATCACTGCACCCAAACAACACGGACCGCTGATCATGAAAGACCCACGGAAAAAGGTGTACACTGCTATCCGTGGATACTCCCTTTGGATTTACAGCAGCAAAGAGGTGTGGAAAACTGCTTACTAATGTGAACCTTTCAAGAAGAATTCAAGAGATCAGAGATAAGCAGAGTTGTTAGGAATGCAGTTGGTTTTACAACAGTTACTAAGCCAGTTTGTGTGTTTGTAGCCCCCTCTAAACCATCTGGATTTAGGGATCTAAAATACAGTCATGCAGAGTAAGTCATTAAGATGTGCTTTATAACTACTAATAAACAGCCAAAATGCTAGTACTATGCATGCTAATAAGCAACTAGTTAATAGCGAGAATTGAAATTTTTTAATGTTAATGCAAACAAAAAGTGCATAGTGCTGCTTATGATTTTTGTTGGTTTTCAACATAAAACTTGATGAAATGATTTCAGTGTGCGTATGATAAATTTTTTTAACATTTCCAACAAATTTCAACAACACCGTGATAATATTGATAACCATGATCAATTTGGTCACTACAATGGAAATTTTCACACCGTTTCATCTCTATATTTCTGTGCTCTGCATGCTTTGTCTTCTGTCAGTCGTGGAGTAACCTGATGGGTTTGTTCAGTTTCTCTGCAGACTCTGCTAAGGAGATGGCTGTGTGGCTGGAGCGTCTGAATGAAGTGATCCGCAGCGCTCTGTCCTACAGCGAGGTGGCTCATCGACTCTGGTCGAGTCCCTGTAATAAAGTTTGCGCTGACTGTGGCGCTGCCAACCCGGAGTGGGCGTCAGTGAACCTGCTGGTGGTCATCTGTGAGGCCTGCGCAGGCGCACATCGATCCATGAGCAGTAACAGGTCCAAAGTGCGAGGTCTCAAACTGGACAATAAGGTTTGGACAGAGCCTTTAATTCAGGTGAGTTCTGTCATGCCTGTGTCACATCCTGTCTTTATGCTATCAAATGACACATTATTTTACAGTGGTCTGAAAAGTTTTCAATATTAATATTTAAATAGCTTGGAAATTAATTTATTTTCATAAGCCTCAGCAACCTTCTTTTAGCATTATGGATTTTTGAGGTTTATATGAGGTGTGGCCTTTTCCTTTAATGACATTCTAATTCATACTAATACTAAATACATACTAAATTCATACTAATTTGCATGTTTTTTGACAAGAAAATGACTTGTATATGTACAATAGTGTCCATGAATTAAAAAGAAAAGAAAAGAAAAGACTTCAGTGGCGTAGCATTCTCTGCCTTTAATCTAACTTTGTTTTTGTGTTTAATCAGAAAAACAAAACGACAAAAAAAGAAGAAAAAAAACATCAAATGTTATTTTAGTATCTTTGAGTTACTATTTTTTGTAAATATTTTGAATTAGATTTTACTTTTATATTTTCTGATTAATGTTGATTTTAAAGTAATTTTTTTACTAGTTGTTGTTGCTTCTAAATCTATATAGTTTTTGTTTATTTTTATTAGAGTTTTAGCTTTGGTCATTTTAGTACATGAAGTCAAACTAAACGGTACTTGAAAACTAGCTGAAATTAAAAAGTTTAAGTTTGTTATATTTTATTCCAGTTAACATTTATTTTATTTCAAGTTAAGAAAATGTTTTTATATCTAGTTTTAGCTGTAATTTTAGTTAACTATAATAACCCTGGTTCAAAATAATGTGTAGTATCATAAAAATAAAAATAAAGTGTTTTAGGGTGTCATAATGTCTTTTTACTACCTGTCGCCTTTTGCTGAATTACACATTTGTCTTTGAATTTGTTTGATAATTTGATGTAATTTGATGAACTTTACACTGTTATTGAACTGAACTGACTTGAGCTGAATTGTCTTCTGCTTTGTTGATCTGAATTTGCAACTTTGCAACGTCATTTGAATCAGCATTGAACTAAATTGAGCAGAATAATGACACTTTACAGCTGAAATTGTATTCGTTTAATAATTGAAAATATTTTTTTCTTACCGTTAACCTGCTTTGAAACCGTAAACGTAACAACCAACGCACACGTGTCATGTTTTCAGTTGTTTGTGCTGTATGGCAATAAAGCTGCCAGCAGTGTTTGGGGTCACAGCATCCCTCCGACGGAGCAGATCGTCCCAGACGTCTCTCCAGATCAGAGGCTGGAGTTTATCCTCGCCAAATACCGCAAAGGACTGTACCGGAAAGCTCACCCGCTCGCCACCAGCCAGACACTGCTTGACCAGGTCAGCATGTGATTAAAGCTCCCTAGCAGCTGATTCGTTTCAGACCGATCCCATGCTGATGTGTTCTCTGGTGCTCCTCAGAGGCTACGGGAGGTGGTTTGTGGTCCTAATGTGGAGGAGACGCTGTCTCTGCTGTGCTCTGGAGCCAGAGTTTCATGCAGCACCACAAATCCTGAGCTTCAGTCTGCCATCAGCGAGGCCGAGAGCGCTGGACAAGCCCTGCAGACCGAGCTACTCCGACATAATGAGTTTGTGGGTTAGTTGAGCTTTTTTCATGGCACATTTGAACTCCTTTTTGAACATGTCCAGGTCTTTTGAAGTCTATTTTTAAAGCCATCAGATAATTTGCATTCAGACATTTATATATATATTTGTGTCCCTGCAGCACAAAAGCAGTGTTGAGTCGCTGGGGGATATTTGTAGCAATAGCCAACAATATATTGTATGGGTCACAATTATACATTTCTCTTTTATGCCAAAAATCATTAGGATATTAAGTAAAGATCATGTTCCATGAAGATATTTTGTAAATCTCCTACCGTTAATATAGCAAAACTTAATGTTTGATTAGTAATATGCATTGCTAAGAACTTCATTTGGACAACTTTAAAGATGATTTTCTCAATATTTAGATTTTTTTGCACCCTCAGATTCCAGATTTTCAAATAGTTGTATCTCACAAATATTGTCCTCTCCTAACAAACCACACATCAATGGAAATATTATTTATTCGGCTTTCAGATGAAAAAGTTAAAAAAATGGACCCTTAGGACTGGTTTTGTGGTCGAGGGTCACAGTATATATATATATATATATATATATATATTCACTGTTAGTTCATGTTAATTCACAGTGCATTAACTAATGTTACACCACACATCAATGGAAATATTATTTATTCGGCTTTCAGATGAAAAAGTTAAAAAAATGGACCCTTAGGACTGGTTGTGTGGTCGAGGGTCACAGTATATATATATATATATATATATTCACTGTTAGTTCATGTTAATTCACAGTGCATTAACTAATGTTAACAAGCACAACTTTTGATTTTAATAAAGCATTAGTAAATGTTGAAATTAACATTAGCTAAGATGAATAAATGCTGTAGAAGTGTTGTTCATTCTTAGTTCATGTTAACTAAAGTAGTTGACTAAGTATGTTAACTAATGAACCTTATTGTAAAGTGTTACCAAAATAATATTAATTAAATAAAAGGTCACTTTAGTGTATTTAAAGAGAGACACTTCCATGAACGTTTCTTAGCACACTTAAGTACACTTTAAAAAGTGTGCTTTATAATAATGTCAGAGTTTTACTTTAAAGTACATTTTAAGTCATAATCTTTTAATAATCTTTTATCATGCTCTAAAGAAGTGCACTGTATTTTGATGTGTTGACTAACATACTAAAGCACATGCTAAGTACATGGCTTTTATTGATTTATTGACTCAATTGTAGCTTCATCATTACAAACGTGTCATTAGAATATAGATTTAAATATACAAATTTCATACAGAAATGACATTAAAGTATATTTTAGTCTACATGCAATAGATGTAATTCTGAAATTACATATCTATTACATATAGTACTCAAGTCCTACTTAAGTGAGTTAAAAAATTATAAATAACATGCAATTAAGTGTGTGGAAACATTGCATTCAGTTGGAACGTAAATATATTATTTTAAAGTATATTTTCATAAGTACTCTTTTTAAGAGTATGCTAAACTCTGCTTATTTTTTTAGGTGACCTGGGCATGTTTTAGTGCAATTGATTATTTTGTTCATTATCTAATATAAGTGTAATTGTTTTTGAGGATTGTTTTTATAATCAGTTTCTGTTCATTTGAATTCATCTCTGTTTTAAAGAGGCACCTGACTTTGAGCAAACAAGACATTCGGAGGAGCAGATAGGTGAGATGCACTACTGAGATGCCTGTCCTGTCTTTTTAGCAGACTACTTCGATTCAAATGACAGCACTGGGTTTTCTTTGTCTTTTTCCACACGTGTAGAAGAGCTCCATGGAAAGCTGGATGAGGAGCGTTTCTTGTTCTCGCAGGAGAACGAGTCTGCGGCCTGTGATGTGCTGGATCTGACAGAGGTCATCTCAGTGTTCGACTGCTCTGCGGGGTAACAGCAAGACACCGTATCCGCTAAAGACATGACTTTCTTTACTATCTCACAGTTAGGATCGCATTAATGGACCCGTGCATTACAGATATTATCATATGTGACCCTGGAGCACAAAACCAGTCATAAGGGTCAATTTTTCAAAATTGAGATTTATGCATCATCTGAAAGCTGAATAAATAAGCTTTCCATTGATGTTTCCAACTATTTGAAAATCTGGAATCTGAGGGTGCAAAAAAATCCAAATATTGAGAAAATCATCTTTAAAGTTGTCCAAATGAAGTTCTTAGCAATGCATATTACTAATCAAACATTAAGTTTTGATATATTTACAGTAGGAAACTTACAAAATATCTTCACGGAACATGATCTTTACTTAATATCCTAATGATTTTTGGCATAAAAGAAAAATTAATAATTTTGACTCATACAGTGTATTGTTGGCTATTGCTACAAATATCCCCCAGAGACTTAACACTGCTTCTGTGCTGCAGAGTCACATATGGACAAACCTGTGTTTGCATACATTGTGTATTTAAGGGCTATGAATTTAATGTGTTTGTTTAGTTCGTTATAAAAAATAATGCAGTGTGAATGGCTTTAGTCTGATTGACGAAATAAATAGCTATGGACTGTAGCTCAGCACTGGCTTATGTTCAATGAGAATGTTTGTAATGTCTGCTTTCAATGATAATGTGCATTTGGGAGCTTTTTGCGGAAAATACTGATATTTTTGTGAAATCGGCCCAAAAGCCCTTGTGAAAAAGAAGCACACTGTAGCACGCTTATAAAAAGATTGCGGTAATAATGTTTAAAATAATATACTTAAGTTTGGACTGAATGTATTGTTTTGGCCGTTTACAATTAAAACCCATTTAATCCCATCAGTCACAATAGTGACCATAAAGAAGGTTTTCATTTATAAAGCTCTAATAATGTTACTGACTGCTGTTTTAGTGCATTTTCTGCAAATATGAAAAATAATTATTATTTCAAGGGGTTACTAATGACACATCATTTTGATATGTTCATGTCTGAGAAAAAATTGGGATTAAATGGGTTAAATTAAGTGTATTATATTTTACATTTACGTTAAATGCAATAGAGTGTTTTTTAACCCGCTTAAGTAGGACTAACATGTATATTTATGTAATTTCATAATTAGTAACTTTGAAATATGATTATAGTGTACTGTGAATATACCGACAAGCATTTATGGTCTAAAACGTACTTATATGTCATCTATTTAAATCTATCTGTAATTACACTTTCATAATGATGAAGTTATTAATATAATATATTAACTTGAAATACTAAATAATCCACTACAATTCAAATTATAATCAAGTACTTTACATGTGCTTTAGTATGTTAGGCAACACGGCAAAATAAGTGTAGCATGAGAAAAGATCATTAAAACATAATTTAAAATGTATTTAAGGTAAAAAAAAGTATTTATTACAAAGTGCACTTTGTAAGAAAAACAGTCCTGAAAGTGTCTCTCTTTGAGAACACTTAAGTGGCATTTTATATCATCTGCAAGTACGTTTTTTTTAAATATAGGCTACTTTAAGATTTGAAGTACACTACAAGTGTACATTCAATACAGTTCAGCGCACAGAAGAGAATACAGAAACCATTCTTTCAAGTTTGTCTTATTAATATTTTGCTGAGCAGAACATGCATTTTATTCTGGAAGTGTAATAATGCTTACCATGTTGTTCATAGGCAAACCCATGGGTTTGAGGTGCTATCGCTGACAGACAGACTGATCTGCTGGGCAGACGGACGAGACGCTCTCCTCAGTCACATGCTGCATATCATGAAGGTAAAGCAGCATCTCTGAGTCTGTGCTAGTGGAAGCAGGTCAGCTGCAGCGGTGACTGACGAGAAGCTGCTGTGTGTAGATTGTGCTGGCGGGTGCCGTCGCGGATGAGGATCTGCTGGGGGTCTGTGCCGTGTCCAGAGCGTTCATACGGGAGGGTGCAGCGCTGCAGTGTGCAGAAGTGTGGTGCACCCTTCAGGACGGAGAGATGAGCATTCACACAAAGCACGGATGCGCAGACACAGTGACTCTGGACAGTCAGACACGCTGCCGTCAGTATCACATCCCACATCAGATCATCAAACACTGTCATAGGAATGTCAATGAAACAAATATGTCTTTTCTATAGATCTGCAGCGCTCAGAGAACTGCATCCTGCTGGAGTTTCCTGAAAGGTCAGTGTCCTGTAGACTAAGAATTAGGTGGCTAATGTCCAGTCACTACTAAATTGTCCCTAGCAATCATTTTAATCAATCAATTAAATATGTGACCCTGCACCACAAAACCAAGATCATGTTCCATGAAGATATTTAGTCAATTTCCTACTGTAAATATATATTAAAACTTAATTTTTGATTAGTAATATGCATTGCTAAGAACTTCATTACGGAGGAATCGAAGTGGATCTATAAGTGATCAGTTTTTAGTGTTTGGTGAAAGTAAAGGTACAAAAGTAAAGGTGCAAAAAAATCTAAATATTGAGAAAATCATCTTTAAAGTTGTTCAAATGAAGTTCTTAGCAATGCATATTACTAATCAAACATTAAGTTTTGATATATTTACGGTAGGAAACTTACAAAATATCTTCATGGAACATGATCTTTACTTAATATCCTAAAGATTTTTGGCATAAAAGAAAAATGTATAATTGTGACCCATACAATGTATTGTTGGCTATTGCTACAAATATCCCCCAGCGACTCAACACTGCTTTTGTGCTGCAGGCTCACATATGTGAAAGCATTTTTGGGTTCCCTCACTAATGGCTGAAGGCTTGTGTTTGCTGCAGGACGTTGCATATGCAGTTTGAGCTGGAGCACAGCTGTCTGCAGTGGCATGAGCTCGTGCAGAAGGCCATGTGCTCGAGCACAGATGCACAGCAGCGCTCAGGATCTGTGCCCTGCTCTGTAGACAGGTGCATCTCTCACATCACACAGTACGGTGAGTCACCACCTGTCCTGGACCAAAACAGCACTGAATACATGCAACCTCTGTTCGGATCATTTCAACAGAGTAAAACCCTGGTGCCTTACTGCTTAAATAAAAAGGTGCTTAACTACAAGTTAAGCAGTGTGCTTAATTGTAATGGATATGTACTTTTAGTGTACTTCAAATCTTTAAAATATATTTTTAAGAAACTTGGTTATACTTTAGTTTGGGAAGCAATTCTCACTATTAACTAGTTGCTTATAAGCATGCATATTACTAGAATACTAGCTGTTTATAAAGCACATATTAATGTCTTATTCTGCATAATCATATTTTAGATCCCTTAATCCTTAAACCTCATACCTAAACTTAACAACTACCTCACTAACTATTAATAAGCAGCAAATCAGGAGTTTATTGAGGCAAAAGTCGTAGTTAATAGTCGTTTAATAGCGAGAATTGCTCCCCAAACTAAAGTGTGACCAAAAACTGTACTTGCAGGTCATTTAATATAAAAGACCACTTAAGTGTAATTAAAGAGAGCAAACTAAAGCACACTTAAAAAAATTGCAGTTTGTAATGTCACAAGTTTTAAAGTACATTTTAAATCATTATGCTTTAAATTAATAATCTTTTGTTGTGCTTTAAAGTACACTTATTTTATATAGTTTAATAACATACTTAAGCACATGTAAAGTACTTATTAGATGTTATTTGATATTACACGTAATATATTTTGAATGTACTAAATTGTAACTTCATTATGTGTACTTATAATATACAAGTTTCAATAGAAATGACATTAAAGTATCTTTTAGTTTATCACGAATGCTTGTCAGTAAATTCACAGTAACACTTTAACCGTATTACAAAGACAATAGACGTAATTATGAAATTATATAAAAAGATGTACTGAAGTGGGTCAAAAAGCACTCTCAAGTTCAACTAACTGCATTTAATATAAATCTATAGTACATTTTCATTTAATTTTAAATAACATGCAGTTAAATACCTACGTATATATATTCTTTTAAATTATATTATTACCGTAATACGTACTCTTTATGAAAGTATGCTTAAGTATACTTCTTTTTCATTAAGGACTACGTTACAAAAAAATAGGACAAAATTGAAATAAAACATTATTCTATGAAGTAAATTCATGAAATGCAGTCTCTCCTTTAGAGAGAAGCGGACTAAGGTCAAACATTGAATAGTTTCACATCATAGCTGGTACTGTAGTGTGTGTTTTTGACCAGTCAGCATCCAGGACCACATATTAAAGCTTGCAATATATTCTAGAATGTCTCGTTTTTAGAAAAACGTATCTTTTAAAGAGAATTGCTGTGTCTGTTTCAGGGTTGAAGGTGGAAGGTTTGTATCGGCGCTGTGGAGTCGCTCCTCAGATCAGTAAGCTGGTCGATGCTCTGAGCGTTTCTCCCAGAGGAACGCTTCTGGAAACAGACGAGCTCTCCATCCTGGACATTTCAGGAGCTCTGAAACAGATCCTGCGGCAGAGCTTTGAGATCATACCGAACGCACACAGACCGCACTGGCTGAAAGCTGCAGGTACGTCTGTTCTCAGCCATCATTACTCTATAAAACACAGCTTTGCATTGCACATCAAGATCTATTCACTGGTTCTATCTGTTTGCTCTCTAAAGTCGCTGCTTGTGTGCTAAAGTTTTCTAAAATGTGACCCTGCAGCACAAAAGCAGTGTTAAGTCGCTGGGGGATATTTGTAGCAATATCCAACAATACATTGTATGGGTCAAAATAAAAAAAAAGAGTTTGTTTACTCACCCTCAGGTCATCCCAAGATGAAAATGAGTTTGTTTCTTGATCAGATTTGGAAAAATGTAGCACTGCATCAGTGTCTCAGCAATGGATGCTCTGCAGTGAATGGGTGCCGTCAGAATGAGAGTCCAAACAGCTGATAAAAACATCACAATAATCCACAGCACTCCAGTCCATCAGTGAACATCTGGAGAAGACAAAAGCTGAAACACATCCAGCATTAAGACGCTTTACAGTATATAAGGCTGCTGTCACTTTAAGACTGAATGCACGGATCCAATATAATGAAACGCATCCCATTTCTTCCTCAACTGTTTGTTCATTTAAGATATAACCATGTTAATGAGGATACTTGCCAATACGGGTATTTTAACAATTTTGTGTACATTTGCCATGTAAGAGCAAGAGAACTTAAATCAGACGAACAGTTAGATTTGTGATATTCAGTAGACATTTGTGATATTTCAAAAAAACAAGAACAAAACAATTACAGGGTTCACAACCTGTTTAACTCTTTCCTCGCTATTGACGGAATTTTCCAGCTTTCCGTGTTTTCACTGTTGTACGGTAGGAGGCGCTATTATGCATCTTCTGAAGCAGTACTGAACGTCTGGATCAAAACTCGGCGAGGAAGAAGCCTTCAAAACGCCCGATTCATTTAGAAACGAAGCAAATGGCTGTCTTTACCACATATGATTTGTTAAAAAGCAGATCCATTCAGGACCGAAACATCGCAGTGTTGCTCTGAGACACAAATAATCTGCTCCGGCTTTGTTCGGAACTATTTTCATTGTCGAAACAGAAAAAAACTGAAACTATTAGGTCTAAAATGTAACTTACTCAACATTAACGTCTTGTTTGTTGAACTGTTGTATAAAACTAATATTACATTTGCGGTCGCTCTCACACACTGATATTTAAGAAAACGGCACTGATGCGTGTGATATATTGCTTAACTGTATCATATCTTATAAATATAAAAAACAAAACCCATACAGGGATATTTTTAGCTTTCATTACTTGAATTACAGGGTCATTCTGACTGCATTCGGATCGGCTTCTGAATGCTTTTGCACTCTCAAGATGTGTTTTTGTTTTTTGCAAAGTGAGTGACATACTCAATAAAATCAACTCGCACATCGCTCAAATTACGTCATTATCACCTATGATAAATATCACACACCCCTAGTTTTCTGGATGAGCCTTTGGTCATTGCTCATCCAGCGTTTTATTTCAAATTCAGTTGCAGATGAGAGCCTGTAAACTCACAGCGCTGATTTTCTTCCACTGTCGGTCTAACTCAGCCTTCTCGTTGGTTTCTTTAAAGCGACGAGTCTTTCGGCCCTCAGACATTTTGATGCCGTACTGGAAGGCAGCCCTACAAAAACACCATCATTACCATGATTAAAGTGAACACACAACCTCAAAGTGAACTCAGAAAGCAGTGTTACTTGGGAAGTGCCTCCTTCTTGTTCATGTAGTCGCTGTACTCCTCTTGCGTGTCGAAGTCCCAGCGGCCCAAAGGACCCTTCTTATTACCCTAGAGACAGACACACACGTGAACACGCCTGACCAGAGACACACAGAGACATTTCTCCATTACAACTCAGAATCACTCATGCCTGGTCCATCTTGCTGTAGTCCACCTCTTCATCACTGTCCACAGCCAGATCATCCATTCTACAAAACACAAGCAAACATGTCCAAAGTCAACATCATCAGCATCTTCAACTGTAGACGACAGAAGAAGACGCGGCGGCGTGACTCACGTGGCAGGGTAGCATTCGGCGTAACTGTTTGACATCCCAAAGAAATCCCCAAGATGCTTCTTCTCTTCACGTCTGCTTCCAGTGCTCACAGTTAAAGAAACAAATGCATTTAAGCAGCCATTTCATCATTTGAGATGCAACTTGAGGTCATTAATCTATACACTAAAGCTGCCCTTTAATAGTTGACTAATTGTGAGTTAGTGACCAAAATTTTGTTAGTCGGTTAGTCGCAGGAAAAATATCCAAGTGTTTGTGTGGAGTGTAGAAGCTGTTACAGTGGAAACAACTTAAAATACACCTTCATTTTTGCTCGTACAGATAAGAGTAATTCATCATTCGAAACTGTAAAGGATCTACTTTTATTTGTGTAGACTCACATCAGTGCTGGGGAAAGTTACTTTTAAAAGTAATGCATTACAATATTGTTTTACTCCCTAAAAAAGTAACACATTTCGTAACTTTTTATGGAAAGTTACTTTTTCTCATCTGGGCTGGGTTTGCCTGTTTGTTTTTAAAATAAAAAAAATTCAGTTTTGGTAAATTTAAAAGCCCTTTCACACCAAAAGTGAAATGAATGAGCCTCAGGCTGAAGGAAATGTAAATTCTGCCATTCTGGATTACATGAAGAATAGGACGCAGGAGAAGAAAGTTCAACACTCTTCAGCAAATAAAAAAATGAAACACAAATGTTAAGTCAGTTTTGCTCAGTGTGGTTGATTTGGCTCATTGAAGGTCAGCAGCAAAGACACTGGTTAATAAAACTGGATTAACACTGCGTCATATTCTGAGTTGTTATTGATTTTGAGGAATACTGAATCTGTTTTTGTGCGAGTGAGACGAGTAAATGCATGTTGACATTTAGTCTAAAACTACAGTAGTTTTGTGAAATAAAGAAAACAAAAGGATGCGCGTCTCAAAAATGAAACGAAACGCCGTGTACTTGCCTTACAGACATGAGAAAAATATCTATGCGTAGCTTGAAATGTCTACTTTAAAACAAACCAATTCAAATCACATACAAATACTTTCTGATTATGTAATCGGTATGAAAGGTGCATTTCTCTCTGAAGTCACGCCATCGTTAACGTCATCTCTGCAGCTCAGAAAACACTAGTTTATTAATGAGAAATTAAAATATCTCCTTGCTATCTTCTCCGACATATTTATAGTCATTACTTTTGCAGCAAGCTTTATGTGTGCACTTGAGCATGGAATAGGAGGATATTAAAGGCTTGTTATGGTTTAGTTCCTCCCTCAGCATATATTTGAGTAATTGCATTAATATAAAAATGCAATTAGTCGACCAATGGCTTAAATGAACGACTATTGGTCGACTAGAAAAACATTTAGTCATGCACAGCTCTACTATATACTATATGCAACAGTGTCTAAATCTGCAGCTGTGCAGTCTCGTGAAGGATATGCTTCCTGGCCCTGCAAATGAGCGGCTCCAGCAAACTTCTCATTGATCAGCTTGATCTGGTCCTTCACAGAGCCTGGACCTGAAAGAGACCATCACAGCACTGAAATATAGGACCGGACTTTATCATTCCAATGCAGGTCTGACAGCATTGCTTTCAATACCTTTGTGATAAAGAAGTGTACCATTTAAGTATATTCCATGTGCACTTGTAGAGTACTTTAAATCGTACGTTTATTTTTTTTAATCTGTACATGCAGATAATATAATATTAATGAAATAAATGGCCACTCAAGTGTCCTTAAAGAGAGTTAACTTTCATGATTAAGTTTGGTTACACTTTATTTTCGGTGTCCTTGTTATACTGCAATTATACTACACTTAAGTACAGAGTAATATTAATTAACTACATGTACTTATTATATGGTTAGGGTTAGGATGAGGGTTAGTTGCATGTAATTATGCATAACTTATTGTTAATACTATAGTAAGCAAATGTAATGTGTAACAAGGGCACTGTAAAATAAAGTGTTGCCTTATGATTCTTAGTGCACTTTTCTGTACTTGCCAATTTTTTTTTAAAGGTACCTTTTAAGTCTGTTTTAATAATAATAATGCTTTAAAGACATTTATTTTTATATGTTGACTGACATATTAAAGCACATTTATTTTATTTTAAATGCACTAAATTGTAACTTAATCATTACAAATGTGTAATTACAAATATATTTAAACTTGACACGCCAACATTCAACAGAAATAACATTAAAGTATATTTTAGTTTACCATAAATGCTTGTCAGTGCATTCATCAGTTCACCATATTTCAAAGAAAACAGTAATTTTGAAATTACATATAAAGATGTACTTCTATCTGACTTAAGTGGGTCGAAAAAAGCACTCTAAAGCTCAGCTAATTGCATTTAAAATAAAATAAAATTTTATTTAATTGCAATTAACATGCAATAATGTTATTATATTATATATTGAACAAAATATCAAATAAAAAACTTAATTTTCCTTTGGACTACGGTTTCAGTAAACTATTTTCATGTAAAAACTGTGAGCATGAGAGCATGAGAAATAGGAAGACTAGGAACATTTACCTTTATCAATGTCCATGGCCTAAAGAGACAGAAATATTAGACAATAATTAGTAGTGATATACGTTTTGCACAAATAGTGAGAGGCAAAGAGAATCATTTTCTTTAAAGACAGAGACAGCGCTGATCAGCTGACCTCGTCATCAGCTCGGGGCTTCTCGAAGTAACTGTGTCGTCTTTTCTCTTCATCTCGATCTCGCTCTCTCTCTCTCTCCCGCTCCCTCTCTCGCTCTTTCTCTTTCTCCCTCTCTCGCTCACGGTAGCGCTCTTTCTCTTTGTCTCTGATGCTCTTAGAGGTGGAAGGTGTGTAGTCACCGATGTCGTCAAAGATGCTGCAAATGCACAGATGTTAGGAAGCTCGTGCTCAGATCATAAACTTTAGTTTGATTGCGTGTGAACTCACCTCAAGTCAGCCTCTGGCGCCTTCTTCTCATCCAGACGCCCTGAAAACAGAGAAAGCACTTCAGGTTCACTTTCACAAACACATGCACTAAGGATGTGCATGAGAATCGGACTAGTAAAGCACTATGAAACTACTTGGAAATTGATTTTTCTCCTTCATGCATTGTGATAGCCTTTATTTAGAAAGAATAATAAGATCACATTTTTTATCAGAATTTTTTCTCTTCTGACCAATGCAACCAATCTCTTGAGCGTCTCCTCTTTTGGAAGGTCACAGAAATGCGCTCTTGGATTTTTTTGCTATTGGAGCAAATGGGAACAAAAACAAAACAGGGTTTCTGTATTCAGTTGTGGCTCAGTGGTAGAGCATTGCGTTAGCAGCGCAAAAGGTTGTGCGTTCGATTCCCAGGGAACACACATACTGGTAAACATTGTATAGCCTGAATGCACTGTAAGTCGCTTTGGATAAAAGCGTCTGCTAAATGCATACATTATTACATTACATTAAATCATATTGGAAAACAAGAAAAAAAAATACTGAGCAAGTCATGGATTTTTTGAAGGTGCATGCTTTTATGAAGACTTCTGCTCTGATTTAAGACCTTTTTAAGGCCTTAATTTGTGGAAGAGCAAATCAAGACTTTTTAAGGTCCACAGTAGGGCTGTCAAAATGTCTGAAAAACTAAATTCGAATTTTGTACTTAAATATTATCAAAATTTGAATTATATTAGAATTTAAAATGCATAAATTCAGTTAGGGTGAAGAATAGCTTTTGGCTTCTCTTCTGAGGACACAAGAGGGCGCATCGAGCAAAATATTACCAATGCATGTTTATTCAAAGAATAAGATAACAAAAAAAGTGCATAAGGTTTAAAATAATGTTTATAAACCAATTATAATTAAGTTGCTTAAACAACTATAAACAAAACAGCATCATGTACTCAAAATCACACAGAGTACATTTTTCATTTAAAAACATGAGTTGCAGTGGGATGGGGAAAAAAAACCACCATAAAGTCTCGATATATGTTTTTTTCAAAGTTAAACTTGCATTATTTTTACATGGCTTTCTAAATATGCGGCTCTTTTGTGCGAGACGCGAGTGCAACGGTGATAGATGTCCCTCTAGAAAATGCGATAAATATACGTTCTGTGTGAATGGCTTGGTTTCAGATTTGATGTAAACAAGACCTTGTCCGCATTGATGTTCTCTTTTCCTGCAATATTTGTAATGAACAACGCAGCAGCGCCGCATCTAGTGGATTCAACTGGACAGCCAACAAAAACGCTGATCAGCTGACCTCGTCATCAGCTCGGGGCTTCTCGAAGTAACTGTGTCGTCTTTTCTCTTCATCTCGATCTCGCTCTCTCTCTCTCTCCCGCTCCCTCTCTCGCTCTTTCTCTTTCTCCCTCTCTCGCTCACGGTAGCGCTCTTTCTCTTTGTCTCTGATGCTCTTAGAGGTGGAAGGTGTGTAGTCACCGATGTCGTCAAAGATGCTGCAAATGCACAGATGTTAGGAAGCTCGTGCTCAGATCATAAACTTTAGTTTGATTGCGTGTGAACTCACCTCAAGTCAGCCTCTGGCGCCTTCTTCTCATCCAGACGCCCTCAAAACAGAGAAAGCACTTCAGTTTCACTTTCACAAACACATGCACTAAGGATGTGCATGAGAATCGGACTAGTAAAGCACTATGAAACTACTTGGAAATTGATTTTTCTCCTTCATGCATTGTGATAGCCTTTATTTAGAAAGACTAATAAGAATAATAAGATCACATTTTTTATCAGAATTTTTTCTCTTCTGACCAATGCAACCAATCTCTTGAGCGTCTCCTCTTTTGGAAGGTCACAGAAATGCGCTCTTGGATTTTTTTGCTATTGGAGCAAATGGGAACAAAAACAAAACAGGGTTTCTGTATTCAGTTGTGGCTCAGTGGTAGAGCATTGCGTTAGCAGCGCAAAAGGTTGTGCGTTCGATTCCCAGGGAACACACATACTGGTAAACATTGTATAGCCTGAATGCACTGTAAGTCGCTTTGGATAAAAGCGTCTGCTAAATGCATACATTATTACATTACATTAAATCATATTGGAAAACAAGAAAAAAAAATACTGAGCAAGTCATGGATTTTTTGAAGGTGCATGCTTTTATGAAGACTTCTGCTCTGATTTAAGACCTTTTTAAGGCCTTAATTTGTGGAAGAGCAAATCAAGACTTTTTAAGGTCCACAGTAGGGCTGTCAAAATGTCTGAAAAACTAAATTCGAATTTTGTACTTAAATATTATCAAAATTTGAATTATATTAGAATTTAAAATGCATAAATTCAGTTAGGGTGAAGAATAGCTTTTGGCTTCTCTTCTGAGGACACAAGAGGGCGCATCGAGCAAAATATTACCAATGCATGTTTATTCAAAGAATAAGATAACAAAAAAAGTGCATAAGGTTTAAAATAATGTTTATAAACCAATTATAATTAAGTTGCTTAAACAACTATAAACAAAACAGCATCATGTACTCAAAATCACACAGAGTACATTTTTCATTTAAAAACATGAGTTGCAGTGGGATGGGGAAAAAAAACCACCATAAAGTCTCGATATATGTTTTTTTCAAAGTTAAACTTGCATTATTTTTACATGGATTTCTAAATATGCGGCTCTTTTGTGCGAGACGCGAGTGCAACGGTGATAGATGTCCCTCTAGAAAATGCGATAAATATACGTTCTGTGTGAATGGCTTGGTTTCAGATTTGATGTAAACAAGACCTTGTCCGCATTGATGTTCTCTTTTCCTGCAATATTTGTAATGAACAACGCAGCAGCGCCGCATCTAGTGGATTCAACTGGACAGCCAACAAAAACATTATCATGCACCGACACCATCTCATGCGTCAATGATAAGGCTCCCTCCTTAACGCACACCTAAAATTCGGATTTTAAATTCGTAGAATATTTTTTGACACCCCAAGTCCACAGAAACCCTGTTAAATTTGTTGTGGCTTCTGTTCACCACTATACAAGTTTAACCAAGTATGACGACTTCCACTTCTGGAAACTCCAGAAATGTGAAAAGGTACATGGATTGTCGCCTCGTTTCAGTGATTTCAAGTGATGATAACTTACCAGGAATCTTGACTTAAACTTAAAGTACATCACTACAAAACTCAAAAGCTGCTCTCTAATGAACACGGTGCAGGAAAGAATACCTTTGTCCTTCTTCTTGAGTTTCTTGTTGCGGGTGCCCTGCCTCAGGTACGACAGGATCTGCGTCAGTTTGCTGATCACTATGTCATTGGTGGTGAGCGTCGTCTGAGCCTGAGGAACAAAAACACCAGACTTAAAAAATGATCTGAAGGAAATGTGAGCCTCAGCGGCTATCACAGCGTCCCTTTTCTTTTCAGATTGAAGCCTTGAATAACATCTAACTATAGCTAACATGACTTGTTTCAAACTTGCATTGAGATTTCTGATTTGAAATCAGAGGGTTCATAAACAAATCCGATTGAGTTCATTCATTAAAAATCATGTTCATTAAAAATCATGTTGATTATTATTACTGCAATGTCCTGATGCTCCATTTGAAGCTTAAAAATGTTGCATTTGCAACTTTCATGATGAGAGAATATTTAAAAAAGTCTTCATTTGTGTCGAAGATGAACAAAAGTCTTACGGGTTTTGAATGACGCGAGTCAAAATCTGCTGAGGGGTTTTAAAAAGTGATTTTTCACTATTATTTACAACAGAATCTGCACGGGTTTAAATAAGATATTTTTGTTGTAAGAGACAATAAAAACAACATTGTGCATCAAAACTTGACTTTCAAAAGTCCACAAATCTGCGACAGCTGAATCAATGTAACATTTGGACAAGCCAAAATAAATGTATGGTAATTATTTACATGATTTTTTGTTTAATTACCCCTTTGCAGATTTGAGCCATATGTTAACTATGATGTTTATGCATCTATGAGAGAAGAACAAGAGAGTAAAACAGGCATGTTGGTGCAGTAGTCTCATTTATCCTCAAAATACTACAGCTTATGAAGACATTACAGTGACAAAGGAATTATTCACCCAAAAATGAAAACGTAAAACGTAAAGTCAAGGTTTGTGCTCGTGTGTTTGGTCTCTGTACCTCCATGGTGGGGCAGTCGGCTTTGCTGCGGATGAGAGTGGTTGGGATGTCCGTGTCTGCATACTCGTCTTCCAGGTCCACCACATACGCCATGCGGCCCGGCAGGAAAAGCTCGTTACGCTCCATCTGACGACCCTTGAACAGGATACGATAGATGTTCCGTCCTGAAGAGCACAACAACACACAGAACAGAAGACCATGAGCTTAAACATCACAGATTAAACTCATGCAACATCAAAAAGATGTTCAAGAGTTTGACCTTTCAAACTAGTTGTCAACAGGTATTTTTTACGAGCTCAAGCACGGATGATATTGAAACCCTACTGCATTTGTTTAAATTGTTCTGCCCTTAAACTGTAATTTTAACCGATAACCATTTGAGCTGGACAATATATTGAATACTGATAGGTGCTGCTTTCAGATATCGTCGAAAGTTACAATGCATTTTGCACAATGAAAATAAGAGATTCAGTGCCACACACATCCTGGAAAGTGAAGCCAGAACATTTCGATCTAGTGGCTGGCTGCAGAATAGGTCAGAAACCCCGCCCTCTCCATGTAACGAATGGGATGTGATCATAATAATCAAATTACACTCCAAATAAATTTTTCCCCAAAGATGTTTTCCATCGTTTTTGAGTAGTACTTATCACACTGATGAATGTTCAAGTGTTTGTTTTTCGAACAAGTTTGCTTTTAGTTAGTTATTTGATGCTATAAAAACGGGGTGTGATGTCATGATTGTGAGTTTGCGATTAGGTCTGCGGGAGTTTGAGCGGGACTTTAATACTGCAGCTCCACTTTACAATCACTACCGAGCAGACTCTGGTTCCAAATGAATCACTACTGCACAGACTCGTACTCCAAATGAATCACTAGTGCGCAGACTCCTACTCCAAATGAATCATTACTGCGCAGACTCGTACTCCGAATGAATCACTAGTGCGCAGACTCGTACTCCGAATGAATCACTAGTGCGCAGACTCGTACTCCAAATGAATCACTAGTGCGCAGACTCTGCTTCAAAATTAATCATTACTGTGCAGACGCTGGTTTCAAATGAATCACTACTGCGCAGACTCGTATGCCGAATGAATCATTACTGCGCAGACTCGTACTCCGAATGAATCACTAGTGCGCAGACTCGTACTCCAAATGAATCACTAGTGCGCAGACTCTGCTTCAAAATTAATCATTACTGTGCAGACGCTGGTTTCAAATGAATCACTACTGCGCAGACTCGTACGCCGAATGAATCATTACTGCGCAGACTCGTACTCCGAATGAATCACTACTGCGCAGACTCTGCTTCAAAATGAATAATTACTGTGCAGATGCTGGTTCCAAATTAATCACTACTGCGCAGACTCTGGTTCCAAATGAATCACTACCGCGCAGACTCTGGTTCCAAATGAATCACTACCACGCAGACTCTGCTTCAAAATTAATCATTACTGTGCAGACTCTGGTTCAAAATGAATCACTATCGCGCAGACTCTGGTTCAAAATGAATCACTACCGCGCAGACTCTGGTTCAAAATGAATCACTACCGCGCAGACTCTGGTTCAAAATGAATCACTACTGCACAGACGCTGGCTCCAAACAACTCATTATTGCACAGATGCAGACTCTGGCTCCAAATTAATCACTACTGCACAGACTCTAGTGCCAGATGACAACATCCATACTGGGATGTTTTGTTTCTTCGTCGCATCATCCATCTTTTTTTTACAGTATATGCACAATACAGACAACTTCGTTGATTATAACAGGCGTTTTTGCAAGAGTGCAAAGCTCAGTGACAGCTTCAGTGACTATAAAGATGTAAGTCTTTAACTATAAAGACTACTATTGATTTCTCCATTTATAACCCATTCACAATTTAAATAAAACTTTAGTAACACATTAGAAGAGGGAACACATTCACTAGAGTTTTCTCTGAACAAACTCCTAATTTGCTGCTTATTAATAGTTAGTAAGGTAGTTGTTAGTTTAGTAATGGGGTCGGATTAAGGGATCTAAAATACAGTCATGCAGAGTAAGCCATTAATTTGTGCTTTATAAGTACCAATAAACAGCCAATATGCTAGTAATATGCATGCAAGTTAATAGTGAAAATTGGTCCTTAAACTAAAGTGTTACCAAAACTTTCATTTTTTTCCATGCAACTGCCTACACACTGTAAAGTTTCTGGAAAGGCAACAGTATTTACATGCAGGACTGAATAAAAAAAAATGCAATGTTTGACAGTGATAACCAGAGCAATGGATGGGACAAAATAAACTGACACTGTCTGCCAAAATTGATTTATGCATTTTTGAGATATAGCACCCGGCCTGTTAACGGCATTTATAACCTCACACAGTCTTAAAACACACACTGAGATGCTGATGATTCCCTCTGATGAATCACATCCTCTTGATAATCACTGAACTCACCCAGACGCGTCTTGAACTCAATCTTCTGCTCTGGATCTTCATCTTTCCTGTCAAACACAAACATGTTGAAAGACATCCGGAACTGGATTAAACGAACACATACGATTTTCTGAAACATACTTGACTTCCTTCTGCACTTTCTCAATCATGTCCTCCTCTTCCCGCTCCTTATTAGTGATTTCGGCTCTGACCTGAAATCGAAACACTAGAGTAAACACAAGCCAGTGTGTGGCAGCTGTATGATTACCGTACAGTGGCTGTGCTGTTGTACCTTCTGTAGCAGGGCGAAATCCAAACCCTTCACCAAGTGAGTGTGCTCCATATCACCCCCCAAGAACTTAGACTCCTGGATCAGCTGACGCCTTTTCTCTGCTGCCGATTTGTCCCTGTTCAACAAAAGAAAAACAACAACAAAATGCACGTTTAAATCCACACAAACCACATTGAGGAGCATGAAACACACCGCCTCTGTTGACTGTGCTTTACTAATATTCCTGTGGTCAAAATAGCATACAGCTGCAATCCATGTTTCTCGTTTACTGCTGCATATTAGCACCACCTCACACGATTTCAGGAGTGATGCAAATAAAAATGAACTTCATTTGTCAAAGCAAAAGTCTGTAGACAGAAGTAGAAGTAGCTGCAGAAAAGGTAAGATAAGCCCTGGAACCAAATGATGCAAAATGAAAAATTTTATATTGCGAAATTACAGGAAACTGGACCAAAATAAATGTTGATAATGTATTAAATCAGCAATATTCTGCTAATGGGATAGCTTTTTTTTTTTGTAACGAAATTATAGAAATTAATACTTTTATTCAGCAAGGATGCTTTAAATCGGTCAGAAGTGATGATACAGACATTTATAGTGTCACAAAAGATTTCTATTTCAGTTAAATGCTGTTCTTCTGAACTTTCTATTCAAAGAAACCTGAAAAAATACTACTCAGCTGTTTTCAACATCATAATAATAATAATAAATGTTAGAATGATTTCTGAAGATCATGTGACACTGAAGACTGGAGAAATGATGCTGAAAATACAGCTTTGCATCACAGAAATAAATTATAATTTAACATATATTCAAGTAGAAAGCAATTATTTTAAATAGTAAAAATATTTCACAATATTACTGCTTTTGCTGTATTTTGGATCAAAGAAATGCAGGCTTGGTGAGCAGAAGAGAATTCTTTAAAAAACATTACCAGTCAAAGGTTTTAGAACAGTAAGATTTTTAGTGTAAAAAAAAACACACACCTTATAACTAGTTTGCAAAAAAAAAAAAAAAAAGAGGATCAAAGATGTAAGAAAGGACCCCTGATAATAAACCTAAAAGATGCGATAGGTGCCTACACACCTTTCCTACTGCCAATTTTCAGAAGATGATCATACATCAAAATATAGCTAATAATTCAATATAATGCTGCATTATGTACAGTAATTAAAAATAAATAAATAACTGATATTAAATAAAAGACACAAATGGCAGAGGACACTCACGCCTCCGCAGTGGGTCCCACGGCTCGATAGTTGGCCGTGGTGCTGATGAGCTCCGTCTCCTCGTAGTCTTTATTAACACCGTCACGTCTTTCTCGAGCACGGTCACGGTATTTCTCCGCCAGCTCGCGCTCTCGCTCCATCTCCTGCTGCCGCAGCTTAGCGTAGTAACTTCAGACAGAAGCGTAAAGAACGGAGAAAAACGATCAAAACCTCTTGTGTGTATTAACACATCATCTAATGACAGGAAAAAAACTCATTCTAAAATAACTGACCGATTTTGGCTTCACCAAACTTATTAGAAGTTCATGAAACGATGGAATTTTTACAAGAAAACCTCACATTTTAGTACAGAATTTAAAAAAAAATGTAATTGAAAAATGAAAAATTTAAAAATTCACAAGTTGAAAATATTCACGTGTCAACTTGGTCTGAAGTTTTTATTTATTTAACTTCATAAATTAACTTGACACAAGCGGGCATCTGAGGTGAACACAGTATAAACATCGCATTCTGTGTTGCATGCAAAGAAAAGCTGAAAAAGTTAAATAACACATTTATTAAACCAAAATCATCAATATGCATTTAGTGTGAATTTTTCTAGTTGCTGCAGTTTTCTCTTAATATGAGCATTGCTGCAAATTTAAAATGTGAAAAGGTAAAAGCCATTTGATTGGCACTGAATAAAGCTCGGAAAAGTGTAAATATGTGCAGAAGAGAGACAAAAGGAGCAGCATTGATGATTTATTCATCACTGTTCCTCGACTCACCTTTTTTTCTTACGCCTGCGAGCTGCAGGATCCTCATCCTCGTTATATTCCCGTGGCATCCTGGGAAATTTAAATGGACTTTTCAGACTGTTAGCATCATGCAGTGTGCATTAAGGGCTGCATAGACTAGTTGGGAAGTCGACTAGTCACCGCTGTCGAAAGCTATCGAGTATTTGAGTGTGAATTAACCAAAGTGAGCGCATAATGAACACAGAGTGGAATTGGACGGCAACACCTTCAAGCCTGCATCCCGGTCAACATGCTTGTTTTTCTTAATGCAACCAGACTATGTGAATCGTGTTATTATATTAGAAACACTTTAGTGTAACCGCTTGATTGTTTTGACTTTTGAAGACGAGGAGGATACTATTTCACAATACTGTTAACTGTTAAAATACATTTTGTTAATATGCATGCACATATTTTTCAAAGTTGGGGTTATAATGTTGCATGTCAATCTGTAACATGTTACGTGTTACATACAAAGTGACAATTCTTATTTTAATGTTTTTACATTACATTTAAGAGACGTAATTGTTGCAAACATTGGGCTATCAAATAACAAAGAATATCTCCTATGAACTATTCTTTTTCATGTCTTTTTTTTTAACATAAGCCACAACTCCTCAAGTAATTTGGGTATCGTTTTGAGAAGTAAGCGACCAGCAGAAACTAGTCTTATGATCAAAAGCAGAAAGATCTTAAACAAGTGTTCAAAAGCAGGTCATATAATACTCATGGTGGCGTGTTTTGGAGGGTGGAGCTGAGGACGGCGCAGATCTCGGGGTCATCAGAAGCCTCCTGAAGTCATCGTTGGTCAGCTTGGCTCTGAGGATCACAAACAGATGCTCGGTGAGGCACGAGAACAGATGAACGAAGAATGAAAATAGTAAAACCACTGGCACTTCAAGAATTCTAAGCTTTTAATGGACTGCCACACAAAAAAAGAACAAGAATAATAGTTATTATTAGAGAAAGAAGATTCTGTGGCATAATTAATGGCAGGTGTAAATGTGATTGTCATTTAGCATTTCCTTCTTCATGACCTCTGCTTATATATGACCCTGCAGCACAAAAGCAGTGTTAAGTCGCTGGGGGATATTTGTAGCAATAGCCAACAATACATTGTATGGGTCACAATTATACATTTCTCTTTTATGCCAAAAATCATTAGGATATTAAGTAAAGATCAAAATGTGATTGTCATTTAGCGTTTCCTTCTTCATGACCTCTGCTTATATGTGTCCCTGCAGCACAAAAGCAGTGTTGAGTCGCTGGGGGATATTTGTAGCAATAGCCAACAATACATTGTATGGGTCACAATTATACATTTCTCTTTTATGCCAAAAATCATTAGGATATTAAGTAAAGATCACTTTGTTTGCACCCTCAGATTCCAGATTTTCAAATAGTTGTATCTCGACTAAATATTGTGCTATCCTAACAAACCACACATCAATGGAAAGACTATTTAGCCTTCAGCCTTCAGATGATGTATGCATCTTAATTTCGAAAAAAATTGACCCTTATGACCAGTTTTGTGCTCCAGGGTCATATTTAATAAAGCTAAAGATTTGACACTCATATGTTCACTGCAGAAATCTAATTCACATCACTGGGTTTCTGCAGGGTTAATGCATTTTCATTTTAACTTATTAATACCAAATAAAGGAAATTTAGAGAATAAATTGAAGCATACATCAATGGAAAGACTATTTAGCCTTCAGCCTTCAGATGATGTATGCATCTTAATTTTGAAAAAAATTGACCCTTATGACCAGTTTTGTGCTCCAGGGTCATATTTAATAAAGCTAAAGATTTGACACTCATATGTTCACTGCAGAAATCTAATTCACATCACTGGGTTTCTGCAGGGTTAATGCATTTTAATGTTAACTTATTAATACCAAATAAAGGAAATTTAGAGAATAAATTGAAGGCTTGTTTAGCTGTGCTCCCAACCACCAGAACACAGAAATAACTTTACTCACGCTGCAAAAAAAAGTGATATTGTTCATCAGTATTTTCCTCGTTTTCCAGTGCAACGGTCTAAAGAATCTTAAATCACGGTGCATTTACTTAAGAAGCCAAATGTTTTCTGTGAAACTGATCACAGTGAAGTGAGTTTAAGATTAAGACAAGAACAAATATCTGCCAGCAGGCTAAAAACTAAATCTACTTCGTTTTCACTACGCATCGACATAACCTCACTTAAATTTCTTTACATTTTCAAAACATTTCACATTTGTATCTCAAGCAAATCCTTGAGATGTTTATACTGGAAAACAAAAATACAGAGGAAGATATATATATATATATATATATATTTTATTTTTTTGCAATGAATGCAACATTAAACGCCATGATATTCTGCTCTAATTTAAAACCTTTTCAAGGCTTTCAAATGCACACGGGTGAATTTTTAAGACCCGCAGACAATCTCTAGTTTAATCTGTGATTGTGAAGATTACTGAGATGAAGAGCACTCACTGCAGCGCTGAGCGGTGATCCTCCACCTCATGGCCATCCGGAGCCAGAGGATTGGAGTAAACATCGGCTGAAAGAACAGAGGACCAGCACACAGAAGACAGACATCAGTGATGAGGAGAAACATCACAAAGACAAAAGGGCTTGCTGTAAACATGACTTTATTGCAGTTTGACCTCGATCCTTGTCTTATGTTGTTAAATGATGAATCTTCCCACAACTTTACATTAGTTCAGAGAAGATTGTTAATGTCTGCTTTCACTGCTGCTAAAATAACTATTACACAGCAATGGTTCACTCCTGACGTGGATCTTAGAAGATCCTGGCTGCTGTCTTCTCATTATATTGTTGGTTTAGTACGCAGCACTGCAAGGATTAATGGGGCTAGAATACAACCGGTCACCTACAATCCTATCACTAGTTTCAGTGTTTATAACCATTTCTTACTATGTGTCAGTAAGTTGCTGTTTTTTAGCATGCGTGTTATTTTTTAGGATTACTGATAAACTACTGTCGTTTGATTTGTATTAGTTATTTATTTTAATTTTAGTTAAATTATGTCTGAATTTATTATGTCTGTATAGGTCTTTTATTAAGTTTTAGTTTGAGTTACTTTAACAAACTAAATGGAAATGAAATAATATATATATATTGATTTTATAAATGTGTATATATATATGTATGTGTGTGAGTTCTTTTTTTTTGGCTTCGTGTTATGTTAGAATCATTATTATACTCATACCTTTTGTTCTTTAATATTTTGAATTGTTTTTAGCTTTATTTTTTGTTTTTCATTTAAATGTTAAGTTTTGAAATTGTTGTTGCATGCATTTGTAATTTTTATTTAATTTCTTTATTTTTCAAATGTGTATAGGTAGTGTTTATAACGTTTCAGCTTTAGTTGTTTTAATGCTACACTTGATTGCTTCTGTTGTCCTCGTTTGGATAAAAGCGTCTAATAATAATAATAATAACAATCTGATCTAATCACACACTTTCTGAACACTTTATTAATCTGGGTCTCAGACGAGACGTCCCATTTCGTGTCTGCGTCAAATTAAATTTAGTGATTTTATATACATAGAAATCATAACAAGTGCATGTTTAGTGTCTTCTTCAATGTTTACAAATAACTTCTGTTCATAAAATGTCAAAATATGGGTGAAATGCTGTTCCGGCATTACAGATATATTCATGCAAAAATAAAACTGACCTGTACTTATTAAAATACATAAAAGAATAAGTGATAATACTAAATATTATTACATTTAAATGTTTATATTTTTCTATAACTTTACACAATCATGATAGAAATGTATGACAGCCATTATTAATGCCTGTATTTGTGTTCATGCATATTTCATTTGCACCAAAACAACGTTCTTGTTTATCTCACGTGTTTCTTTAACCTATCAATTCTACACAATATCTCTGAAGTCTACACACGATCACTCTGACGCGTCGTTTGAGCACGTTATTATTCAAACAGGCCTGCGTTTATAGAATATAACAGCACAGTCTCATATACTATCTTAGCCACACACAGCAGAAAGGTTTAATAAAGGATACTCACATTCAGGCATGATGAACTCGTACTTTATTGTTGACTACTGACGTCACACTTCCGCTTATTTCTATGTTTCCGGTCGCGTCAGCAACATTCATGTTGAACTGGATGTTGCGTAATCAAATTAAAGGGACAGTGCACCCAAAAATGAAAATTCTGTCATAAACAGTGTTGGGCTCGTTACTCCCAAAAATGTAATTTATTACTCATTACACCTTTCAGAAGTAATATTATTACTGTCTGGCAACGGTAATTAGTTACACTACTTTTCCTTCACGCCCCACAGAAGCTGTTATTGTGTTTCTTCCCAATAAAATTCTTCTAAAATGTTACCAACAGTATATTTCTGCCAAAAATCTACATTGGATGGCAGTCAGAAGTTGTTACAAACACTCAGTGGTGACTGTGTTGTATTAACTGTCAAGTGTAGCTTACCCATTTATGATTATATTTCACCAAGTATTTTATCAGAAGCGATCACATAAGTTCATAAGATGTTTAATTAGAGTAATATAATTTATATGGGGATCAGAGTAAAGTAATGCACATCTTACACGTCTGTGTTCAGATCAGCTTTTCTGACAAAATCAGTGTAATGGCAATATGTAAGCTTTTCCATATTCCAAGCTTCCCTGATGCACTACTGACTTCATGTGCCTGCGCGAGTCGTGAAAATCATGACAATAAATCTAGGAATTATTGATTTCAAATCAGTAGGGGTTGAGGCATCAGAAGTAACGAGCTGTTACACTACTAGTTCCTGCAAAAAGTAATATTATTACTGTAACTAGTTACTGCCCATAGTCACTAATTACTCACCCTCACCCATAAGACCTTCGTTCATCTTCGGATCCTTCATCTTTTCAGTATGAAAATGCTTTTATGTAAAAGAATATACAGTATTTGTCTTTCAGAGAACACTGGAAACAGATGCATTTTCTTAAAAGTTGACCCAAAAGTGATACAACACAATGTAAATGTATCAAACTCACTAAATAACACCATAAAGTCATGCATATCATGTTTTCCTGAACACGTTCTCCGTCTCCCATTGTTCGGTTCGTATCTTTTTTGTGATAAAAGCATTAGGAAGACACCAAGTACAGTTTATGAAGCTCGAAGAAGAGAACACAATGCTTTATCAACACGACTATTTTCAACTATTATTTTTATTATTGGTTCTGTGTGTGTATATATGGGTTGCTGGAAGGTCAAAATGTATTCATTACAAGCTTATAATTAAAACAAAGTTGCATCTTCTGCAAAAAAAAAAAAAAAAAAACACTGCAAAGTCGTAATATTGATCCAAGTGTCATTTCTGTATGTGTGTGGGATCAAGAGTTAAAGAGGTGAGTGCATGTGCATGACGGAGAAGGACAGCGTAATCTGCAAGCAATCCTGGAAGACAGAAAGAAAGACATTTTATTACATGCAACCTTCATCAAACTAGCATTTCAACTCGTGCACACAGAGATAAATTACGAGGTGCAGAGAGACATCATGCAACATGAACTGATGGGGCCCATTTGTAATCATTTATAAAGAAGCCAATGGACAATATAAACTTTCTGGCCGTGTGGGACGTCCGACTGCTTTCCAAGAAGGGGTTCAACTGATTTACAAATGTTGTGATAGTGTGAAATGAGACTGACGACAGCAGTAGCGCAAACCTTACAGGATTGTCTACAAGCACACTTGAGCAATATCATACAAGTGTTAAATTGAATTATTTAGACTTTGACGTGAGACTGTGTTTAGGGTTCTTACTAATGAGGCTATGGGGAGTTTTTAAGACAAAGATTAAGAAACAACAAATGCTGTGCAAATTCTAACAGCAGGAATGTGTGATAAAGGGGTTCAAACTAACACAGACCTACCCCAAATGTCTGCCTTTACAGCTTTCTGTCTTCTGTTTCTGAATGAATACCTCTCCACTAACAAGACTGGGCTGACTGCTTCCTTTAGGTCTTTTCAGCTAAAAATAAATATTAATAAAAAAGGGAGAGAAAATAAAATAGCATTATATAGAGAATTTAAGATATAAACTGATATGAATGAAGTGCAAGATGGAAAAAATACTGAGTTAAATTACAGTTTTTCGATTTTACATTAAAAGCTTTTAAACGCACGGTACAGTAAGTGTTGTGATTACTGTGATATATATTATGTCATAAAAGCACATCAAAACTACCGTTACAGTGGTAAAACCATAGTAAGTTTGGCGATTACTGTGCTATTACTACTACACGTATCACAGTAAAACTAAAGTTACTGCAGTAAAATCATGATAAGTGTTGTGCTTACTGTGCTTTAACGTCAAATATCACAGTAAAACCAGTTTTAAACGCACGGTACAGTAAGTGTTGTGATTACTGTGATATATTATGTCATAAAAGCACATCAAAACTACCGTTACAGTGGTAAAACCATAGTTAGTTTGGCGATTACTGTGCTATTACTACTACACGTATCACAGTAAAACTAAAGTTACTGCAGTAAAATCATGATAAGTGTTGTGCTTACTGTGCTTTAACTTCAAATATCACAGTAAAACCACAGTTACTGTAGCAAAAGCACGGTAAGTGTTGTGCTTACTGTGCTTTAACGTCAAATAACACAGTAAAACCACAGTTACTGTAGTAAAAGCACGGTAAGTGTTGTGCTTACCGTGCTTTAACGTCAAATATCACAGTAAAACCACAGTTACTGTAGTAAAAGCACGGTAAGTGTTGTGCTTACCGTGCTTTAACGTCAAATATCACAGTAAAACCACAGTTACTGTAGTAAAAGCACGGTAAGTGTTGTGCTTACCGTGCTTTAACGTCAAATATCACAGTAAAACCACAGTTACTGTAGACCGTGCTTTAACTTCAAATATCACAGTAAAACCACAGTTACTGTAGCAAAAGCACGGTAAGTGTTGTGGTTATCATGATTTTACTACAAGTACACTTTACATCTTTGAACCTGATATGAATATGATTAACTGATGGAAGATCTATGGCACGTCACGTGTGTTCATTCAGTTAAACGCAAAGAAAGTCTCGGATGACAGATGTAATACAGCGAACAAACGTAAAGCGCTAATCTGATTAATAACGAAGACAGAATAGATTTTATAACAAACATTAAGACAGCGTATTTACGACTACTCACCCAACGTGTGGCACACGTGAACTGATGGCAAATATCGCGATGTGTGCTGAATGAGACTTCTTGAACGCGATTTCATAGCGATGAACTTCCCACGCGTCGTGGTACCCTCGTGAATGACGGTGGAGACTGACACGGAAGAGAAGAAATTGTTGAATAAAGTCGTTATTTTTGTTTTCTTTGCACACAAAAAGTATTCTCACAGCTTCATAAAATTAAGGTTGAACCACTGAAGTCACATGGACTATTTTAATGATGTCCTTACTACCTTTCTGGGCCTTGAACGTGTCGGTTGCATTGCTGTCTATGGAGGCTCAGATAGCTCTCGGATTCCATCAAAAATATCTTAATTTGTGTTCCGAAGGTGAACGAAGGTCTTACGGGTTTTGAACGACATGAGGGTGAGTAATTAATGACAGAATTTTCATTTTTGGGTGAACTATCCCTTTAAATGTAAACATTTACATTTTCTAATTTGTTTTGACATTCAAACTTGATGTACATTGGATCCAGTGATATCTCTGAAAAACCTGAAAGCAATATTCAATCTGTACTGAAAGACTTAAGGACCCTGTCCTTTTGTTGTTTTATGACTATGACAATACTGTTTTCTAAGCCTTTATGGACTGGAGTGGTGTGGATTACTTGTGGATTATTGTGATGTTTTTATCAGCTGTTTGGACTCTCATTTTGACGGCACCCATTCACTGCAGAGCATCCGTTGATGAGACACTGATGCAATGCTACATTTCTCCAAACCTGATGAAGAAACAAACGCATCCTAATCTCGGATGGCCTGAGCCTATTTCAGCAAACTTTAATTTTTGGGTGAACTATTCATTTAAGATGCACTTCCTTTAACCCCTAATGCTGTTATTAATAATACAATCAAGTAATCATAATTTAACGTTAATTGTTTTGCCATCATAACTCAGATATGTTTAATCAACTTATTTGTTAAAATCTTTTCAATTAAATGTTTATGTGTTAATTACCATTCATTTAAATAATTTTCTCTTTATCTGTGAAGTTCTGTCTGACAACAGCATTGAATTTCAGGTACCAGGTATAGATGAAGACAGGAAGATAGACAAGTACATATACTACAATACAGAATACATCTGTGGAGCAGAAAACAAACAATAATATAATATTTATAACAAACAATAAAAACTGTTCAGTCAAATCATTATTTGCCACACTTTGTCCTGCCTATTGGAAAACTGGAAGAACTCTTCCAATCAGTATATAAACAACACTTTCCAAATGAGATTGAATAATCAATGTGCAGTTTATAAGCTGATGTACATTACTAAAACATCTCAGCAGTAAACTGGAGAAAAATTGGAGACTTTTACAAATGTTATTTTACCTCCAAATAATGTCGTAAATTTGCTCCAACAGCAAAAATGTTTTATTGCATTACAATGACTCTCCAAAAGGTAAAAAAGTTTTCTGTAATTCAATTCCATGTTATTATTATGCAAAAGCATATAAATCTAAAGTATATAAATGTAATGAAAAAAAATCCCTTTTAAGTGTGTGTCAATGCATTTATGGAAAAAAGACATTTAAATCACCATTTTGTTACCCTTTTTGGCAGTAACACATTATAAATATCCATCTATTTCTGGTAATGCATTTTAATGTTGAAGTAGGGTATGGGCATGTTATTACCTTGCAAATCCACACTGCATTTTGCTATATTTGTCATATTTTAATGAAAATGCAACCCCAAGTGTCCTATCCGTTAGTGTAAATGAATTTGAGAAACATAACATTTAATAATTTTGTGATAATTAAGATGCTGTACCATTTAAAATATTTAAATTCTATAAAAAAATTTCCCATTTTTAAACCCAACGGAAGAGTTGTTTTACCACCATGTATATCCCTTAAAAAAAATTAAATAACCATTTTTAATTTTTGTA